ACGATTTAGGTCGATTTTCGTTAGCCTGATGCTCGCCTATGGCATCGCAATAATTTCTAGACCCCATTATAGAAAACTATTAAGCTGTATAATAGATTCCAAAAATTCAGCACCAATTCCCATTCTCCAGTTCTCGAAAATGGAACTGTATTATGTTTTATTGTTTTTACAAAATATTGCTATCGTACCATAAAAATGAAATAGAACTGTTTTCGCTTATTATTAAAGCACCTTACAACTTTCTCATATTGCAAATCAGTGGAGTGGTGGTAGTAACAGTGAACAGAATGAAACCGTTGAGTCTGTGTAGCAGAAGTTACAAAAGCAGAAGGATCTGCTTGCAAACAAACTACCCATCTAAAGGAGATTTTTTGCGCGGCGCGTTTCTTGTCAAACGCTATACACACAATCGATGCTCCATGTGCAATCAATGTAATGGAATGGATTTATATATATATATATATATATATATATTTAAGTCAATGCACGCTTTATCACAACGTGGGAAAGTAGCAACAAACTTTATGGCACTTCAATGGAAACATGAGCAAAGTACCTTGATGCAGGTCACAAAGCAGCGACATTATATCATCAATGGCTATTGTCCTTTTCTATTGACGTCGTAAAATCTTTCATTTACTACAAAGGAATATTCATTTACGGTGACAGACTCATAAATTTATGACCCCTTTGACGATCCATTATGTGGAAATATAGATCCAGTGTACACTGTACGGCCCAAGTTAACTTGTTTCTTTGAAATACATTTCCGTGTAGTTAGGAATAATTGTTTAAATAAATGCTCTAATGAAAACGTCCAATGGTACTTACTATGCTCGTGCGTATAAACGTAAACTTTTACAAATTTTATGTGGACCAACGAAGTGTATCATTTACTTTCATTAATCGCTGCCCCGTGATGTTCTTCATATATTCTATGCAAACATATGTAAATACTTGTCACAGAGAGAAAATGAGCTTTCTAGGCGCTTGAAATAAAAAATCAACTCCGGATATTTTTATTTGAAGCACTTCACCAGCAACACATAGGTTTTCTATAGTCATCCCAGGTGTCCCTATATCACTGCTAAATATGATACTTCTTCCCTTAAGGGCTACCGATACGGCAAACAAGGTAACCTGTAAACGTAAGAGGTAAGAAATCTGCGAAAACTTGCAAACCGCAGAGACTGACACACAAACAGATCACTGGTGCAACCATAACGTAAAATCTTCGTCCAGAAAAAAAGCCACAGTTTCGTTGCTTGCTATATTTATCATTATAAGGCTGTTGGTGTTTAAACAAATCTAGGTCGGTTTTAAATGTCGTGAGATAGTTCATAATGCATTTTCTATTATGAAACATAAGCCTATAAAAAACACGAGGAAAAATCACTAAGCGTTTAATAAGTTCATAGTGACGTATTTAAAAATTTCAATAAAATCAATTACGAGCTGGACAGTAAAATAGGGAAAAAAAGTATTTTTTACCAGAAGGGCATATCCATGTGTGCATATATCTACTAGACGATGGGACATTGTATTCCGAGTCCACCGCAGACTTCTTACTTTTCAAATGCAATGTCGGTGTACAACACTTTAAGAATAGAAAAGTTTATATGTATATGTACATTCATACAGATATGTATTGAAATGAAGAAAGTGAAAACAAGTTATTATTTACCAATAATAATCCGTTTCCTGTGACTTTGAAGCATCCAGCTCTGTCTGTCATCCACATCTGCGTTTCAGATAGCTTTTCAATATGAACTGAGTTATGAAAAAGACGGTATTGTGTTAATAACGCCTTGTTGACTACAGGTATATATATCGACATTACCTGAGGCCTTGTATTGACGAATAGGATAAAGGAAAAGACAGACAATGCAAACAATGTCTGTAGCAGTAATACACGTATTATCAGGCAGTGCTTAATGGCTGTGTCGGACGTAACGCTCACGTTTTACGGAAATATTCACGTTTGTTAAATGTTTTTCTTTACTTAATTAACAATGCAGTTGTTGCTGATTGATTAATTATTCAGGTCCTACGTGCAATATTATACTCGCATTATCAGTTCGATTTTATAGCTGGATCAGCTAAGTTAGCACTAAATGGATAAAATTTCGATTTTTCACAAATGGGCATTGCGATTGCCACTTACCAAGTAACGCCTATGTATGAATTACCGAAAAATATCCTGCACGAACGCGTTTTTAGACAAATTTAGCTAAAGGAGAGAATCACATCAGCGGAGAACGCATCACTCCTAAAATGGTTTCAAGGTCTTCTTTATTATGCAAGCAACTTTATGAACAAAGTATATCGTATCAAACAAGCACCTCAACCCGCCTCATATTTCGTAAAAAATCGTCAGGGTTTTTCACGTTGAATATTCGATCCATGTTTCATAGAAATGTGCATAGTACACATAGTGTCCACTTCTCTAACATAGATGACACGGCTTTGCGATACGTTAATCGTTTCACACAAGACGAGTTAACGATATCTGAATTACCAATGGCAGGCGAGTACGAACTTTCGCGGTGCATGGTCAAACCGATTCCCAGAAACACAACGAAATACAACCGGTTCTTGGACAGTGGCATATTTTTTAAGCTTACCCTCGATGAAAGATACCGTGATTAGCAGCAGCTGGCACTGCTTATGTTAGAAATATTCAACACCATACAATTATTTCCCTCCTCGAAACAGTTGCTAAATGTTGATGATCAAGGACCGTGAGGCCATTATGATCTATCTATAGGCTATGTATAAGAACAATTGGCTTTCAGACAGTGGCACTTTTGTCATTTTTTAGCTCGTTTAGGACATGTCATATTTAATGAACAATGTATTTTCATATCCTCGAACTAAATTTTTTTTTTATGTCAACAACGTGCTTTTAAAGGAAGTGTTGTCCAGAATCACGCAGATAGCGATGCCAGCCCTGTACAAACAGCGTTGAAATAATTAAAGTGGCTACCTGGCTACCTTAGATTCTAACTTATCTGACATATTTAACTAATGTTTCGTTCTGTAACAACTGTATTAACATACCAAATGGCTAATTTGACTGACCGACCGGACTATTTCTTCACGAACAAGCCTACTAAGAATTCTCTTGGTAAGTTCACATTTGATCGAAAATGGTGTTATTGATATAACTTAAGAGCATACCTAGATGACCTTTTTTCTTTCTTTTTTTTTTTTTTTTTATAGCACTGCGATTAAAAAAGTGTGAATACATTATTGACTTATGTACCCTTAAGCGGATGTCTTAATCAATACATCTTTTTTTTTAAGGACGTTACCGCGGGCCTCTCGTCCACTAGATTCTAAACGTATTCTTGAATATCCGTCCAAAACCGATTAGAATATTACTTTCAGCCAATTACGTAAAAAATTAGGCATTTCAATAGTCTATTCAAAAGACGATGATTGGGCCATTTAACGAACAGTCAGACAGAGAATGTGTCTTTCGTAAAAAGACGTTGGTTTCTGTAAAGCAAATAAATAATCTAGTAGCCACTGAATAATGGAAGTGACATGGATTATATGCTTCTTATTGAAATTTTATAGTACCAGCTGACGTAGAACGAAAAATTGAATGCGTTGTGTTTTTTTTTCTGGATATCTGTCTATAGACGGGTTCACTCAGTTGTATTTATCCTTGAGACAACTACAGCTGTCGTCGTCAATACTGGCAGCAACCGCATTGATCCTTTGGGTGCATTCTGTACTTAAATAGTTTTTTTTGGCAACCATGTCCGAATAGCGACGAATTATATCTTTATCTTAGATTAACTCTTCAATGTAACTCACTCGCGAAGACCCCGTTAAAAGCTTCAATCTCGATCCCTCGGGTGCGGGATGCATTCAGTAATGTGCGAGTTAAATCCGTCTTTGAAGTAAATCGATCACAAAATTTCACTGTCTTAATTAAACATGATTTACTTAGTAAAACATCTGCTGCAACCTGCACGCTATTTTGAAAAATAGTCTTTATATTCATAGCAAAAAGACTAAACGAAACCTTATGTTAGCGTTGGGCTTTCAACACGTATGACACTTATTCCATTGAAACTTCGCTGAAACACGCACAAAGACGAAAAAAAAAAAAATATATATATATATATATATATATAACATATATATATAACAAAGGACCATGTTATAATCAATCTAATCGAATTAAGTCAATTCTTTGTCAGTTGTTTGTATGACGCATTGCTCTAAGTAGACAGAATCTTTGTAAGCAAACACTCCACAACGGTTTTCCTTTTTAAAGCTTGTTTATCCGCCCGACCGGTTTCCATTTTCGTTTAGTAAAATATCTTGTACTTGCCCCTGCTTGATTCCATCGTGCAGCGGCCATCTTAGGCCCCTACAAAAAACATCGTTCATCTAATCCTCAGATTTAGTGAGTTGTCTCATCTCTCTTGGCTACCAACGACACAGCTCCTTCGAGTGACTACCGTTGTCAACTATAGCCAGAAACAGATACGTTTCTTAAACTGTAATTTATCTTTATTTGCAAAACCTCAACACTTTTAAATAGGGCGCGTGTTATGTTTGGTCAGCAAGTCTCGAGTTCAGGACATATATTCAGGAGCACTACGAGGATCAAACAAGCCTATTAAAAGATAATAATCTCTGAAAAATGAGCTTTATTTTGAGCTTATATTTGAGACTACGAGTTCAGGACATATATTCAGGAGCACTACGACGATCAAACAAGCCTATTAAAAGATAATAATCTCTGAAAAATGAGCTTTATTTTGAGGTTATATTTGAGACTATCTTTCGTATCGCTTTTGTAGCCATAACTGCCTTCAGCTGTTCCAGTAGTTAGTACAATGCTAAAAGAGGACATTTTCATTCTTCACTACCAATAGCTTCAGGTAAAAATGACTGACGGACGGTTGGTCGGTCGGTTGGCCAACAAGAGCTTAGCTATCATTTATTGGCTAGGCGTATAGTATTGATGTTATGCATACCTGTTGCTGAAATAAACTAGCGATGGAGCTAACTTTCGAGCCTAGCTTTTTGGGCGGGGGATGGACCATTGTTGCGCCGGTGCTACACGAACTTCCGTTAAGCTGAACTGATGTTGACTGTATAAGCTGTTTCGGTGACGTCGTCGTACAACTGGGCGCGGAATTGGGCCGAGGATTTGAAACTGTATTTGCTGTTTGGCTGTCCAGTGATCCTTGGCTGGGGTTATTACTGCCCGCAGCAGTAACGACGATAACTGCTGCCGAATGTAAGACAATCTCCTTGTCAGATACTACTAAACCACTGCCCGGAATATCTGGACCGCCTGCTTCCAGTGCTGGAGTCGTGGCTGGGGAAGAAGTCTGCTGCTGCTGCTGCTGCTGCTGCTGCTGATGTTGAATCCAGCCGGTTCGCGATCTGGATGCAGCCACTATCGAAGATCGAACATCGGCCATGCTAAGCGGAACAATCAATATGAAAAACAGAAATAATCGATTTCTTATTAGAAGGTATTGCAATAATATACCTGATAAACATAGAATACATAATAAAGATCATACTCCAATTGTAAATATAGATGTGCAAAAGCTAAAACGATGAGTCATGACTGTCCATCCATGTGATGAAAGTTCGAAACAGAAGACCGGCTTTCGCTTAATATTAGGCTTTTACGAGTAAATCTAGCGGACTTTTAAACTAGTCAACAAAATCAGAGGTTCTCTCCTTTGGTTTTCACACACATATTCCAGCGCTCTAGTAGCTTTTGGGCAGCTATACACCTACTGTTAATCTTTCCATCGATACTTCCTCTGTCTTAGTTTCTTAAAATAAGTCCATGATGGATATGTTCGCCTACCGGTTGCCCTTTTTAAAGTGCAGAAAGCCCCATAATCACACGGACTTGGATTGGAGAAACTAGCGGATTGAAGCCAAGGTTGGATATTTTTTTTTGCTTAATTTAAAAAATAGTTGAATCATGGCGATGAGGTTTGACGTTGCCATCGAGTAACGGAACTGCATGCTTCCGAGCGCCGTACCAATGCTTTACGAGTCTCTCGAGAAACCCGAGATACCGGCTGAATTCACTGTCTAATTTTCAGCTGCCTATAATGTTCACCGTAGGTACTACCATCGACTTACGTACTATCCTAGCCAACACTGTCACTGAACTTGATTTCTCGAGACCATATGGTCCAGGTGAGCTTTTTATTCATGTTTCACAAACTGCATAAAAATGCGCCACACGTATTTCCAACTGACTTTCTGAGTCCATTCACGAGGGACTCATTTTTTACTTAGTTTTCGCATTTTCATATTGCATGTAAAACCTAGACAGAGTCCTTCGGCTCCAGGCTTTGCTTTTGCGTAAAGGCTGCTCGGCCATGCGTGTTGTCTCTCGGACGCGACATCTGATTACCTGCGCGCTGCTCTTCGGCGTTCAAATCTTCACTTCTGAAAGTATTGCACTATTCACGTATCACGACTTACATCTTCGAAGGAGGATCGCCTAAGGCCTCTCTGCCTAATGTTTTCATCAATCTTTGATGAATTTTCTCTCTTCTGAAGAAGCAAAAACCCAATGATAGAGTGTCGATTTTCAAGACTAAAAAACGTTCTTACTCTAAATCTATTTCAACATTGGAGTAAACTTAACCGGCTTTTATTGACAAAATTGTGTAAAATATGAGTATTTATTAACCAGGTTTCGTCTGCTGGCAGCCCGTACTTTGAAAATTATTTAACCGTCGAAGTCCACCGGATTCGCTTGTAATAGTAGACATTTTAAATGGCAATGAATTTAAAGTTAGTAGAGGTAGTTAAAATTATATATAAATGATATTACTATAATTCTATATAAATAGCATCCTTATTCATCGACGTGCCAGCCAATAGGGTGGGGTAGACATTTTTTCCATACACGTGTATAACAACAACCTACATATTTCATTAATTTCAAAAAACTAATTCTACTAGTGGCTTCTCTATTACCTACTCATGTAATTATGAATTATAGTAATGCAAAATAATATATTAATATAGTAACATAAATTAAAGCAAATTGTGAAAAACAGATCAAAATAAAGAGGGAAGGAGATTGTGGAAGCTTTAAAGTGTGAATAGCTACGAGCAGACAGACAGGTCTGCAACTGAATTATCTATGTAAGCTGTTTGGTCGTAAATGTTATAGCTTGACTTGGGCGTGTCAAAGCCTTTGGGTGTCGTCTCATATAATCATCATATATTCAAGCGCTTCATTACAATCACACCCATACCCGTAGAAGCGGCTTGTCGCTTTTTATACATTGTCTTGCGAATACTGCTGACAGGGCACATTGTCCATGGGTATACCTCATTTACGCAACGCTTTTTAATGATCAGTTTTGGAAATGTGTGAGATCTGATACTCGTCTCGATCTTGTAGAACATTGCTTTTTTTAAATTTAAGAGATGCTTGTTGATACGCTTGAACATAAATGACGTTAAGCCTATCGAAGATCTTTAGTTCTTTCTTATACTGGTATTGAAACGCAGCGCGAACTTTCTTGCCTTTCGATTCCAACTTCCTTTTCTTAGGTCAAGTAGTTCAAAATCCTGGTAAACAAAACTGAGTCTTTTTAATTAATTTGAAAATTCTCGCTTATTTTTTGTATTTTAGAGTAACTATCGTAGCAACCCCTAAATCTAATTGTAAGTTAAGTTCGCCATTTGAATAGACACAATTAAGATTTTCATGGTATGATACATTTTTCACTTGATGGTATTGGTTTGTTGTGTTCGTGTCTAGCTTTACAAATACTGATTGGATAATATGCGCATTATTGAATTTATACACATGAAAGGTCCTTTGTTGATTATACCTTGAAGACTGCTCTAGACAACTCTAGAAGTATTCTATTAATTACCGCGAAACTACAGTCGCCTAGAAAGTTTGAATTCATTCCATCGGGCGATTATCAACACCGAATTAAAGAAGCATCTCGAGAAACTTGGAATGAATGACTCGTTCAAGCGCTCACTTGAGGGCGAAGTATACGACATCGAAACACAGGGGCATGTTGATGAACTCTATTCATTTGAATAAAGGCAGATCGGTGTTTCGTCCCGGTTTGTGTAGGAATCGAGTATCGGATATCAATTCTTGCTCACTAGTACCCTTGTATGCATAGGCAATGTCTTTTAGCAGCTTACATGCTAGTACAGTCAGTAAAACTGGTCTTGTCCTGGTAGGCTTAATATCTTTTGTGTAGCCGGCACGCAATAGTGGTTCGGAATATGTCTCACATTCAAGCAGTTTCCATATAACGCTTAAATTTCGTGAGAGGGTCACACAAATTAAGATTAGGTTAAGCCTTCTAAATGAGTAGAACGAAAATCTGTCTTCACCATTTTAGTCTCATATTTTCATTCACTAGAGGCTTAGTGTATCTCTATGGAGCTGGCAACTTGGATGGGACCTTCAGGAAGAAGTAGAGAATTTGAGAAGGCGCTAAGTAGTTGAAATTTTTCCGCAATTACCTGTTAGTAGTGCACTGTGTGGGTTCCTATTCAAATTTAGTGGATCTCACACAGTTATTCTTTTAACTCTGAATCCCTTTTTGGGTCTCGCACTTCTGATCGCTTTATTAATTTCTTTCTGTAGGCAGGCGATCTTATGTCGATCACAGGCTTTCTTTTTCTGTAGATGGATGCAGCTAAGATATGTTTGTTAATCAGCGACTTTGTTTATCGATTGTATGAGACGTCTTTGTCAACGGGGAGACGAATTACTTGCCATTATCACTGTCGCAGTTGATGAAGAGAATCTTCCAGCCAATCCAGGTTCAGATCAGGTTTTATTGCAGCATAATTTCTATAACAGTAGTTGAGTACTTGAGGATAGCTTTAATATTATGTGTATACCCAAATACGACAAACTTCACCAAAGGAAGGTCCAAGTCGATCGGATTGGGAAGCACCTCCACGACTGATGCACAGTCGAAACCTTTAGGTGTCATTAACACCAGATAAAAAATAAACATATGGGAATGTATTTTTGCCATTCTTATTGTACAGCTGCGGTTAGATTTGATGTTACAATTTTCCTTACTTAACTATACACATATGTGTCGTTGGCAAGGCGACCCTTCAGCTATACTAGTTAGCACAAGGTTTTGCCATCAGACCTTTAGACTTGATATGTACAATAATAACAATACAAAGAGACAGCAAATTATACATAGGTGAAGCTGGTGGTGGTACGGTCTATGTGTCTAGAAAAGCAATTATTAAATATTATTAAGTGTTAAGTCTCGTTGTCTGAATTAAGTGTGAAAAACTTAGGACTGATAAGTTTAGCAAATTACCGCAAAGTTTCACAATACGATTCCCAATGTAGGCTAACGATCATATACAACATATCCGTAGCACTATTTCCTATACATTAATAGCTTTCTTTAATCCTCTAGGAAATATTGAAACTACCGTGCTTCGACTCGCAAAAGGTTACTAAGTAAGTTCACAAAAAAAAAGTTCAAGAGAAAAACGATCTCTTCCGAAAAGCGTATTTTCATCCCAGGGCCCTGTGCAGTAGCACAGCTCAGAGGGATTGAACAGGACGTAATAAGCATCTTGATATTTATTTCGAAGAAAGACATGGAGTTTTTTTTTACGCTTACCTTGCTACATATTATTGTATACGCTCCAATGGATTTTACTGAACAACTTAGCGCAATTATGAAACTTATCAAAAGTGGTTCTGCGTACCCTTGCCGTAACTTACCATAACGCACAAACAGTTCTATGCGCAAAAATGAACGGAAAACCTAACAAGAACATGGCTTCGTTTTTATGCGATAGCTGAAATAGGCTATCATCGTAAATTGTATTCACCCATTGAATCGTATTCATCCCACCTGCATATTACTTCACAGATTTGCAGCAGTACACGTTTTGACATAATGATTACAATAGGAAGAAACCGAGAACGTAAGGTCCAAGCAAATATAGCCTTTTTGCCGTGGGTTTTTACTTACAAGACTACTTGTTTACTTTGTTCACCTCCAGTATAAGAAAACTAGTATTATTAATGCGAAACAAACACTAGATTTTCTCTACGAATTTAACGGTGGTCGTGATAAGAGTAACATCTACAATGGGTGTATTTGTGTATGTGTAGAGAAAACGTTATCATCCTACTATAGTTATATCGTGTCACCGTAATTTCTATTAATATATCTAACTGTGTGATGCTCGGTTCCTACCCAGCATTTAGCGTCCCCTTGTTCAAAGGCCGTTCAATAGGAAAGCACTTTTAGCTTTTATTCCAGGTGAGGTACTGGGAACGTCCTGGCCCTCAAGAAAACGTTTTGTGTTAGTTTGAAATAATTTATTTTCATACTTCATTTCATTCATTCAGTTTCATAAACGCAACATGAAACAAGCATGAAACAACAATAAAGCGTAGAGATTTACTATGT